TTTTCTAACATGGATTCCCTTTTCTTGCAATCACTTTGTTCTCTTTAATTTGAGACCCTCAGATCTGATTCCTCAGATTGGCTTTGTCTCTTGAACCACAGTTGATTGCTACGTACGTCATCATTTTTTTCCTCTGCACGTCTTTAAAGAAGGGGGTCTGGTCTTGCTCAAAGTTGGAAGTGGAGAGGAACCTCCTGGGGACTTGGTGTGACCCTGTCCAGATACTTCAGGCCCAAAGGAAAGGCAGAGAGAAAGGTCCCAAGGGCAGCCGTGGGGGCCGTGGGGCATGGGGAGCCGGTGGCAAAAGCAGTCCGGAGCCCTCACTAGAGCTTTTCTGTTCCAGGAATGGGGTGGGCGAGGGCCCTGCTCTGGGGACACAGCCATAGTGACTGCAGGCCTCTTGTTCCTCACCCACCATGACCCTCATCCCTGGAGGCCTCCCCTCCATGTCAGATGCCCCTCCAGTCCTGGCTCTGAGCCGGGGTTCCCAGGACCTGGGGGGGGGTCTTCTGAGGTTCTTCAGATATTCTGTATCCATGTTAATTTTTCTGCTTGATCAATAATTTCCTCATTTTTTTATTGAAGTGTGTGTCCTAAAATCTATCAGTATTATGTGAAATTTTTCTAGAATTCCGGCAATTACCATTTCTCCTATTTTCAGGCTGGTTGGTTGTGTCTATCCTCCATCTTGCAGGAGCCCTCAAAGTTCTGGTCTCCAGCTCTGAGGAAAGTGTTCCCACATTTTGTGACCTCTTGACCATTGCAGTGGGCATGGGATGGGAATTGAGACTCACCTAAATCACCGGCAGCCCCAGGCCCTTTTGACAAACAGCCAACCCAGCCGCAGTGTTTGCCACCGAGGGTGTGGGCCAGAGCAAGGTCTGCAAGCTACACGACAACTTTCACGTTCCCGGGCTGGGTTTTTCTCCATTTCACATAAGCCAATGTGTTTGTCAAGAGAAAGCTAATTAAAAACATATTTTTCTAATTAAATGGTAGGCCGTGCTGTGCAAACAGTAAGATTCTTGTTTGAGTGCAAACCCCTCCCGTTTCCAGGGCTACCCTGGGGATTCACTAGATCAGCGATGCACAGCCCGCATCACCCACCCACATGACCCTGCATCAGAGCCAGGTCCCAGCCTCCCGCTCCAAGGCTCACAGTGTCCTCCTGGCACCCGGGCTTGTCACGTCCGACCCCACTGGCTCTCACGTGCCCCGGTGTGAGCCCTGCCGCACACCCCACCTCTCCAGAGAACGCTCCCCAGGCCCAGCCTGAGCTCAGTCCAGGTTCTAGAAGCAAAGCTGGGGAGCCCCTGGCACCCCTGGGCACACGTTTTCAGCTGGTTCCTAACTTTTGTCAAGAATGTCTGTGTTTGTGTCTCCTTAGAGTATTGTCTTTATCAGCTTTTTTTTGTGTTGAGATTGTTTTATCTTGATTTAGTGAATTGGTGAGCTTTCCATCTTTTTCTTTCACCTGGAATAATCTAAATTGCCTAAGAGGTAAGCTTTTTTAAAGGTTAGTCTGAATTTGCGTGCAAACCGCGCCCTCCTGTCATCTTAAATAGGCTTTAACTGCCTCTCCATCTCTGTCATTTTCAGTTCGCCGCCTCTTCTTGTCACGTGGCAGTCACCCACCTTATATTGTTGAGTGCACATGTGTTTACCGTCGTCATAGTGACGTGTGGTTATACCTGCAGTTAGATCTGTGCCTGTGCTGGGTGTCGGAGATTCTATTTATTTCCCCTCATCCAACTTGCCAACAGTTCATCTCTTTTATTGATCTTTTCAAAGAATCAACTTTTATCTCTTCTCTTATTTCTGTCCACTTTACTCATTTCGGCTTTTATCTCTGTTAACATCCTCTTTTGGTTGTCATTTTTCTGATTTCTGACATTGAATAAGTGTGTGTTTATGTTTGGACTTTCTCTCTCACTAGTAAGAGAATTCAGTGTGAACTGTGTTTTCCCTAATTGAGGTTTGCTGGGTGACCCGTGGCTTTTTCATATGAATTCTTTTCCTTTTTACCCATTCTCCAGGAGTTTCAGTTTTTATTCCTTCTTTAATTCAAAAGACTAATTCCATGTCTGTGCCTCCTTTTGTCGCCACATCTGGTCTCACTGGCGAGAGGGCGTGGCTTGGGCAGTGCGGGCCTTTGGTCAGCTTCTGGGGGCATCTGGGTTTATGCTCCTGGTTGTCGGCTGTTTGCTGGTTGCTCTTTGCTTTCTTGGTTTGGTTTTGTCTATTTGTTCGTGATATGTTTGGAGGAAACTGAACAAGCTGATTGCAAAGTTTACAGGAAAGAAAAGATGTTTATAACTGATTTAAGGCAGCAGGAGGGGTAGCACAGGCTGGACAAAGAGGCCAGCAGGGTGGTAGAGTCCAGAGGTGTTCAGCTGTCACTACTTGGTGCCAAGTCCCTTATATCTGAGCAATTCAGGGGCTCATTGTGTCCTGGGACTGGCCAGAGGGCGGAACCAGCCAACCAATGAATGGGTCCGTTGTGACCCAGGGGCTGGAAAGGTGTCAGGCTGAGGACCTGACCTCCAAGGCCCAGAGGACGGATTGGGGATTGGGGGTCGTGGCATGCTCTGCTCTTCACTGTGCATAAGCAGGCTGTGTAATGAGACCCCCACCCTGTATGTGCACAAGACATTTTCCACACTTCCTTCTACAAGACCCTCATTTCACAACAGCCCTCAGAGGGTGTGGCACCCTACAGCCCCCTCCCTTCCTTCTCCTGGTCCCAACAAGAACCCAGTGAGATTGCATCACCCCATGCACAGATGGGGAAACTGAGGCTGGGGGCCTGGTCCAAGGGCAGGAGGGGAGCCCCGTGTCCCTGCCCCATGCCCGGCTCTTCCCTGCCTGGCTCCCAGGTCAGAGCCACAGGCTGGGCTCCATTCGCTATTACAATGAATTTAATTCCATGGGCACTGAGTCCTTACAAGAGGAGCCCAGTGTTTCACATAAGTGGTCTGGGCCTCTTTAAACACCATGAAATATTTAAGCCGTGTTTGAAGGAAACCTCTGCTTTTCTACTGGAAAATGTGTACAAACAGAAAATTATAATTTTCAAAATTGCAAGGGAGGGTGAAACGTCACAATTTTAGGGACAAGCATTGCCCTCCTCCCTTTCCTTTTTCAAAGTACTAGTGTCAGCCCCCCAAAAAGTGTGTACAGGGTCACCCTGCCGCCTCCAGTCACTTCCCGGCTCCTCCGAGCAGCCCTCCTGTGTGAGCGGCCAGAGTCTGCTCCAGCATTTAGTGAGAATAAAGTGAAAGGATGGACCATGGCCCCTCTGACAGCCCTGGGGCCTGACTGCTGTGGTCGCTGTGGAGGATGGGTGTTTGCTGAGACCGGGACCCTGGGGCCTGCGAACTAGAGCTTGCCTGGGTCACTGGGGTCCCTGCACCTTCAGGCTCCTCTCCCTGGCTCTGTGCCCAGGCTTCCTCTTGCCCTCACACTTCACCCCCTCAGTTGGCCCTTTCTCCCTCCCCCAGCCAGGCTTCCAGAAGGCCTGCCCCTCTCTCTCCACACCCCCTCCCTCCCAATTTCTGCTGACTTTCTGGGCTTCCCTGCTTGACCATCTCTTTTTCTCTCTGTCCGGACGTCTACTTGTCAGGACCCCTTCGCTCTCCTTCTCCCCTCTTCCAGGACACCCTCCCCTCCTCTGGCCTCCAGAGCCACCTGGTTCTGAAACACTGCCCCTGAGTTTAGTGACTCCTGGGCACCCCTCAAGACTGAACTCTGAACCTTCACCCCCAGACATGTTCCCCGCCTGCCTTCCGTCTGGGTTAGTGGGTCCTGGACCACCCAGCAGCCCATGCCTGGGAGTCCACATTCCCCCACACGGCCCCTACAGGCTCAAAGTCCCATGTCATATCCGTTTACTCCCCCACTCACATCCAAGTCGCCTCCTGTCCACCACAGAGTCAGAGGACCAGAGACACTGGCCACTTCTCGCACAGAACACAGGGGAAAATTCAAAAACTAGAGACTGGCCCAACCTCATGAAGCCATGCTGGTCACATGCCAACCTCAAGTTTCCAACAATGGAGTCTGCATAGAACTCATCAGAAATCTCCAGGCCCCACTGCAGGCCGGCTCGGGGCCCAGGGGCCAGGTTCTCCTTGTGAGGGCTCAGAGCAGAGGGGTGAGGGGGCAAGGCTGCTGTCACAGGAGAGAGACCTGGTGTGGGTGGCGTCGGTGGGGGACTCAGTGAGGCTGGTGGGGCTGCAGGGCTGAGCAGGACTCTGGGCGGTGAGGGCAGGGCCCTGGGGCAGGGGAGCAGGTGGTAGAGGGGGTGGGCTGAGTCCAACAGGCTCCGTGACTTGGGGTGACTCTGGTCTTCATTCCAAGTCTGGAAGCAGGTGAGGGACACTGGTTGTGTCTTGAGGCCACTCTGGCCACAGCACAGAACCTGCCAGCGGAGCCTCTGCCCACACCGGGCCCACAAGGCCTCCTTTCCAGTTCCCACGGCTACATCTCAGGCGGCCCAGGTGTGCACAGTGTACTTGGCCTCCTCTCGCCTCCTCACCTCCCAGCGACCTGCAGCAGGCCTGGGCAGACACCCTGTGCCCCCCTCCCCAGGAGCAACTGGACGCACTGCACCGGGCCCTGCATGAGAGCAGGAGGCACAGCCAGGGCCTGGCCCAGAGGAGTCGGCGGCTGGAGCAGGTCGCCAGCCTGGAGCACAGGTGCCAGGAGGCCGAGAGTGCACGGGGGCCCCTGCGGCAGGTGAGGCCCCCAGAAGGCAGGGCCCTGCATCCCTTCACAGAATCAGCCCCTGGGCATGAACAGAGGTCCAGGTGTCCAGACACCATTCAGTGCCCGGCTGACAGAGCAGAAATCGGAGGAGGGAGCGCACACGCAGGGATTCCCTGGACCAGGACCACCCGAGAGCCTGGTCCACGTAGCCTCTGTCTACCCGGGTACTTCAGAGGCAGCAGCTCAGGACGCAGGGATTGGGGGCACAGTGCATGAAGGGGCACATCCTGCAGGGACACAAGGCCTCCCAACACCTCAAGGGCTCCCACCCACAAGGGGAGCTCGTGGTGCGGCATGCACGCCAGTCACTGGTATGGGCTCTGACAGTGGTCCCTAGGAGAGGGTCAGGGGATCCCCCACCAGGGTCCCTCGCTGGGGTCAGGTGAGGCTGGGCATGTGTCCTACTGCCCTGGGGGCCTGGCAGGTCATGGCTGAGAGTCTCTGTGAGCACGTCTAGGCAGAGGGTCTTGCCTGTCCCCCAGCACAGGGATCTAGAGTGGTATGCGGACACAGACAGAGGAGGGGCTCAGGAACACACAGCTGCCACCTGGGCACAGACATCCACACGCTGTCATCCTTCCCCTTGCAGCCCTGGCCCCAGGCAGGGCTCCGGAAGGGCATTCAGCCTGGGCTCACCTATGCAAAGGGAACCAGGTGTCTGTCACTCATGGCTGTCCCAGGCTGGGCTGCTCAGAGGGCTGGTGGAGGCCGTGGTAAGTGGCACCCCCACAGACTGTGCAAGGGCCTCCTCGGGTCCAGTGAACCCCTGGGCTTGTCACTGTGTCACCTGCTCACCAAGACCTATAAAGACTGGCTTCCTGCTGGGGCGGGCTTGTCTGGTCTGGGCAGTGTGGCCCAAGGGCAAAAGGACCAGGGGGACCACAGTGGCCAGGCTTAGCATCACTGGTGGAAGGAGCAGCGAGGAGACAGGTGCCCCAGGCTCTCAGACTCTGAAGGAGAAAGATGCCAGGGGGCATGCAAACATCAGAGAGGGGAGAAAAGGAAAGGTCAGGGCCAGAGACAAGGTGAAGGCTGCCACCACCTCAGGCAGGAGGGAAAGAGTTAGTTGTGTCAGGAGCAGAGGCAGAACCAGGAACAGCCATGGTCCCCACGGGTTGGAGGGTGTATGTGACAGCTATGTGGACACTGACCACACGCCTCCTGAGGGAGCAGTGGGGCCCTGTGGGGGGAGGGGGACTGCTGGGCCTGGAGCCCCTGGGAGAGTATCTGTCCCATGTCCCATTCAGGTCCTGTTCAGCTGAGGCGGACTCAGGGACGACAGGAGGGTTTTCCAGAGGGGAGTGGCCAAGTCAGTGCGGGGAAGGGACCCTGGGGATAGGATTGGGGTCTGGATCAGGGCACAGAGACCAGCAGGCCAGCACAGGCATGACAACCACTGGCCAGCTTGTCCACACCAGGCCACCTGCCCGCCCAGGAAGGAGGGTCGGCCAGCTGGGTACAGTCACCAGGATCCTGTCACTTCTGAAGGGTGGGCCAGCGCTGAGCTGCTGAGCTGGGGAAGCGGGGGACTCACGGCCACTCCAGGGGCTCCTGGGGGGCTGAGCACTAGCCCGGCTGTGGCACCGCCCCGTGGGGGAGGGGAGGAACAGCTAATGAGTTCCAGGAGGTCAGCTGCGAGGGGCCGCAAACCCATAAACCCTTTATTGGTGTCTCAGGAGGGGAAGCCCGGCCGTGGCCGTTTGTTTATTTTGGACCTCATGTTTCTCTGTTTCACATGCACTGCCAGGGCTGTCACTGGGATTTTAAAGAAACAGGACTTCCTTTTCAGTGGAGGGGCTGTTTTTCTCAGTCCTGAAGAAGAAGGAATCCTTGCTTTTGAACACTGACCCCATAGTCTCGCCCTGAGGCTGCTCCTCTGTAGCAGGCCCCTGAGAGCCCAGACCCTGAAGGGAGGACCGACTGGGGCTGCAGCAGGACTGGGCACAGTGGGCAGTGGGCAGGCCTGGTTTGGAGAGAGGGCCTGGGCTCTGATGCTGCCCAGCTGCTGCTAGGACTGCAAGGCCAGAGACCATCCCCAGCAGCACCCAAGAGGCACGTCCGGGGTCAGGTCCTTCCTCCAAAGGGGTCATCCACAGGGGCAAATGGAGCCCCACTGACCTTCCCACCAACACTGCTTCTCTGTTTCACCCTCGTTCAAATGCCAATGGCCCTGGGTGGGGCTCGGGGTCCTGGCCCAGGGCAGCGCCCTGCCCCACCAAGCCAGTGCTCATGGGACCCAGAGCCCTTCCCAGAGGTACCCACATGCTCCCCGAAGTGCAGGCCACACTCCCCCAGCAGCCACTACAGGCTCTGCTCTTGCAGAGAGAGAGGGACCCGCTGAGCAGGGAAGGGGACACGGCGGGGGCCAAGGAGCCACTGGACCAGCCCCTGAGCAGCCTGCACCTCCAAGTGGACAGGGCCCTGAGGCAGGATCAGCACCTACAGGTCAGCAGGGCCGGCGCAGCTCTGCGTACCCCAGCCTTGGGCGTGGGCCCAGGACAGGGGGTATCCAGGTGGTGTGGGTCCCAGGACGGTGGGCCACCCTGCCTGACTCAGGACACACATACAGGTGTGCACGCACAGGAGTGTCTGCTGGGTCACACCTGGGAGTGGTGGGACGGTCGGGGGCCTCGTGAGCCAGCACCTAAACCAAAAAGGGAGGTGTGGGGAAGCACAGCTCCCCTGCATGTGTTGGGGGGATCTCCCTTTCCACCACTGGGCAGACTCTCCACCCCAGACGAGGAATTTACAAGCAGGTGGGAGGCAGCAAGATTCAGCCTATGACGCCTGCAGAACCCCAGTCCAGACAAGCAGAAACCAGGATGCCATTAAAGCAGATGTAAGGTCCACCCTGCCGGCCTGTGGGCTGGGCTCTAGCTCAGATGAGGCCCAAATCTGCTTGCCGATCTAGACTGGGGCCCACCCCCCAGCAGAGGGCAGCGGGTAGCAGAGGCCTGGACAAAGGAATAGTGGCCCCAAGGGCAAGCGGGCAGCAGTGAGGTGTCTAAGTTCTCACCCAGGTCCAGAGAGCGGAGCTGGAGCAGGCCCAAGCCCAGCAGCCCCAGGAGCTGGCTGCCCAGCACCAGCAAGACCTGGCTGTGGAGGCCAAGCAGGCCCTGGAGTCCCAAGTGCTGGAGGAGCAGGTGGGGCTGGGTGGAGGGCAGAGGAGGGGAGGGGAGGGGTGGGGAAAGCCCGGTGTCCTGCAACACACCCCTCCAGCAGGGGTTCTCCAGACTGACACCCAGGAGCTCCAGCTCACTGAGAGGCGGAGCAGGTTTCTGGGGCAGTTGCCACCTGCTCTGCCTCTACTGCCTGCCCGTGAGGAGGGGTGGTGAGGACAGTCCCTCAGTCTGAGGTCGAGGCCTGTGAAGTGTCCAGACTGTGCCTGGCAGGTGGCAGTTGTAGCGCCTGCACCTGTCCTTCAGGCAGGAGGAGAGAGTGTCATGTGAGGACAAGGTGGTGACAGTGTGACAGAGCCTTGGAAATGTAGCTGTGCTGCCCACCCACACACACACACACATGTACACACACATGTATACACACAGGCAAAGACATGCCTGCCAGGGCTGGCCCACAGGCTCCAAGCTGTCAGAGACAGCTACGTTCTACAGATAAGGAAACTGAGACCCCGAAAGGTAAAGTGACTGCCCCGTGTTACCCCCAAGTTAGTGTCCCTGACCCACCAAGCCACGTCTGCTGAATTTATGAGCTCAGGAGAACTTATTTCCTTATCACTCTGAGTACATTCATGGCCTGAATGGAAGGGGGTCTGTCCACTGTGGGTCCCTAGGATGGGTGGATGTACCTGATGAGGTGAGCCTGCGTGCCCCTGTGTGTCTGCCGATGTTTCAGTCCCATGCATGTCACCTCCTGGGGGAGCCATGGACCGTGGCCTCCCAGTGCTTCCTGTGACAGAGCTCTGGGAGGCCTAAGACCGTTCCTGCCCCGTTCCCAGGTGGCCAGGAAGGAGCAGCTGGACTAGGAAGTACAACGGCAGCAACATGCCCACCTCAGCCAGGCCTTCCCTGCCAAGAAGTGAGCCCTGCTGCCAACCCTGCCACAGCCCTGACCAGCCGGACGCAGAACCATGAATTGGAAAACCAATGCTCATGCGGCTCAGTGTGGGCCCGGTGCCGGCAGAGGGGCTCAGGGTGCAGGCAGCCGGAGCCTACACTCACCTCCAGGAGTCCCATGTCAGCAGGCACCCTCTGGCTCCCCCGACCACTGAGCACCCCACCCTGTGACGTGGGCTTCTGCTGCACACCTCCTCCTCCAGCCACTGTCTCCACCTGGACGTGCCATTGGAACAGACCCGCCAAGCCAGTTTCCTTGGCCACAGGCTGCATCCCCTGCCCTCAGCTCTGTAAACACGGGGAAACACGTGGAAAACATTTCCACCAAATGGAGCCAAAAACAGTGTCCTTCGAGGCCCGGTGCCCACCTCCCACGCCCGGAGGCTGTGGAACCTTCTGTATCCAGGAACTGCAGGTCTCTCACGATGGCAGGTGGCTGGAAATGACTCAGTCGGTCCCTGTGACTCACTGGCCTGAGAGGCACGGGAGCAGGAACTTCAAAGTCAGAGTTGCAGAACCTCTCACTTTCCCAGTCTGTGAACCTGGGCCAGGGACCCTCCGAATCCAGCCCCGTTGCTATGGAAACAAGGCAGCCATCTTCACCTATAGGCATTTTTATTCGTTTCCCCCATTTATACCAGGTCAGTGACTTATTCTCCTCTCCAAATGGCCTCTTTTGTTCTATGATACCAGCCAGCCCAGGACTCAGGGGACCCAAGGTTCTTGTGAGTTCAGCTCCTCCCAGGGAACCCCTGTCATACTCTGGAGGACAAGCATGGGGGCAGGGAGGGTCCAAAGCTCCCGGAAGCCACCCCATCTCGGCCACTGTAAGCTGTGGCCCAGAGAGACGGCCGTCTGTCTCATTCAAGATGGATCCAGGCTTGTTTTCACCTGGTGGTCCTTTGGAGAGCCTGTCTGGGATTGCACAGCTGGAGACGGGCATCCCTGCCATCCCCCAAGGAGGCGGGCCATGCTGGCCTCACCCACCCTCATCTGCCCGGCAAAGCTTCGGGCACAGGGTCCTGTTGACTGGAGGACAGAGCTGGGCCAGGTAGACTGAGCAAAGTGAGGCCCAGTGTTGGGCACTGGACCCTGGCCTCATACAGCATCCTGGAGGTGAGGTGCAGGGAGGAGGGCGGGGTAGGGGCCCATCCTGGTATACAAGGTCAAGGCAGAACTGCTGCCCTCCCCACAGTCGAAGGGATAGGGCAGAAAAGCGACCCGTCTCCCACCCATCCCTGCTCCTTGGAACTCGGGCCAAGGCCCGTGGGTGCTTCTCCCCTGCTATCCCACATGGAGGCCTGTGGCCTGTAAGAGGCCTGGCAGGTTCCAACATCCCTTTAGGAGTTGCCAGCCTTGCAGGGCAGTCCCAGCTCTGCTCCTCTCCAGCTGTGCAATCCCAGACGGGCTCTCTAGGCCTGGGGACCACCTGGTCTGGGGCACCAACCTTCTCAGGTGTCAAAGGACACACCTGAAGCCCACAGGGGGAGGAGAACTCATCCCCTGAGAGAGCAGGAGAGCCATGGGGACAGGGCCATCCTGAAGCACTGGGGCCAGAAGGAAGGAAGTGACACCCTCAGACAGAGAGGCAGGGGAGGATGACCAAGCACCCGAGGAGACAGGCTCCACCTCCAGCACACCAGCTTTTGAGGGAGCAAAGGCCCCATCTTGGCCACAGCTGGGGAGGAAATGAGCCACGGGACCCAGGAGTGCAGCTGGGCCAGGGCAATTGGTATCTGGGCCTCCTGACATTAATATTCTCACCTGTGGATGCTAAAGTGAGGCCAGAGCGCTCCCTCTCCCAGCACATGCACGCTCAGAGCCTGTGGGTTAGACTGTATCTGCTACTTTTAATATTCTTTTAAAAATGTTTACTTGAGCCCTGGCCAGTGTTCTCAGTGGTTAGAGCGTCGGCCCAAGCACCAAGGGCCTTGGGTTTGATTCCTGGTCAAGAGCACGTTGCTGGGTTGCAGGTTCAATCCCTGGCCCCAGTCAGGACATGTGTGGGGATCTCTCTCTCTCTCTCTCTCTCTCTCTCTCTCTCTCTCTCCCACACACACACATACACCCCTCTCTTCCACTCTCTCAAAAAATCAGTGAAAAAAATATCCTCAGGTGAGGATTAACAAAACACACAAAAAATTTTACTCGCGTTTTCCTGCATCATTAGAAAGGCCACTGAGCATAATTTTATTGGCTGCCAACCAGGGACATACCCTGCCTCCCACGTGCCTGGGTCCCCACTGTGGTTTCCCTGCCATCATGGAACACTCAGAAATGGGAATCTTTGCCCTTGAACCAGGGGATATGCAGGAGGCAGGGAGGGGCCTGTCATCACCCCAGGGCAAGGAGAGCCATACCTGAGCCCACCTGTAACCCATTTATGGCCTCTCCCTGCAGAACCTCTAGCTCAATGTTTCCAGTTCCCCTCTCTCTCTCTCTCTCTCTCTCTCTCTCTCTCTCTCTCTCTCTCTCTCTCTCTCGGAGGGAGGGGAGGGACAAACATCCCAGCAGTGAATGTGGACCCATTCTGAGCGTTTCCCTATGGTCACTAGCAGAAGCCTCATCATGATGTTCGGGTGTGGGGCGCTCCGTGAAAGCTCTGTCCCTCACTGCACATAGAAAGAGCCAGGGGGGGCGGGGGTTAGTGGACTCAACACACTGACTATGTGAACCAGCTGGGCACCATAGAGACAGGCCCTCCCACCTCTGTCTGGGTACACCAGCGGCACCCATCTAGCCTTACAGTGAAGAGAAAGGAGT